TGATTTTCTTCCTCAAATTCTCGCAGGCAGGCCTCGTCAATATCAGTAGGCTGGCCAGAGTGCTGTGCTGAACTGAATGTCATAGTCCTTGTTTTTTAACTTTCGGTACTAAACCTTTACAGTGCCATATGATACAACATTGGTACCTATATAAGGTATTTCTCCCACCGTCCTAGCGTGCCTTCGTGGTGTAGTGATTCTGCACGCTGGGCCGGTATTCCAGAGGTCAGTGGTTTGATTTCCAGCAAAGACGTTGCATATCTTTCATCTTGCCTCCTTCCAAAAAATACCTAATGTCTCTACACCTAAACCTGTAAACATAATTTAGTAACATTCTGTAGCTGACTTTTTGCTACAGAACTGAAAGTAAATGATGTTTCTAATCTGGTAACATGATAGTTCCATGTCAGACAGACGCCTTATACTTAATGATAATGATATTATTTACAAATTTCACCAAACAGTGTTTTAAAGCAAGTCGCTTTCTTTCAAATGCCAAAAATTGTATAAAAAAATGTGCTTAATCTCACCAATGGGAACTGTTTAAGCAGCTAATATTTGCGGTGATGGAAAACTTTTGTTAAAACCCAATATAATTGCATTTTGCAATGAATAGCTGCATGGTCTGTTTTGCTGATATAATCTGTAACAAGAAGTGGTTCTGTTGATTAATGCTTTCTGATTATTCACTTCCTCATGAAAAGTCATCAACTCATTGGCAACTTTGTAAAATGGCAGAAAAAAAAAAAAAGACATTTTTTGGCTATATTTAAGGCTTATAGTCACTACTCTGTAAATAAGTAAAAAAAAAAAAAATGTGAAGCAGAATAAAAACCTATATGGTCGATATTTACATTTTTCCAGCTGGTAAATCAGGTTAAATACACTTACTGTGATTTAAAATTTTATACCAAGAAAGAATTGTCAGAATAAAATGAATTTTTATATGTGTAAATGCAATATTGATATACGTAAATGATTATAAAATCAAAGCAAAAGGATCATTTATTGTAGGAAAAGCTACAAATGAATAGAGATTCTAGTACCCTGTTGGACCACTTCTAACATGAATCGCAATGAGATGCAAGCATGTAAGTCCTGTATGGTGTCCTACATCAATTCATTTCTCAGTAGCTGTAAGCACGCCTCTAGTTTGATTCAATTCCTTGATTTTCCAACTAATCACACTAAATAATCGCAGACAGGCTGAAATGGTGACATATTTGGGTTTGGGGGTGAACCAGGAAAAGGTGGTAGTGGGGTGAAGGGATTCCTATTAACATCCTTGCTGTGTGCAGCCAAGCATAATCCTGTTGAAAAATGTTCCCTGAGAGCTCTGCCATGAGTGGCAACATATTTGGCTGAAGGATGCCACAAATGTGTTGCTGCACTGTCTTGGTGCAATGGAACAATATTAGAGATGACTGATGTCAAATGCAGTGGTACCTCATATCATTACACCAACTATGAATGTACTGTGCCACTGTTAAGTAAAGGCAGAGTTTAGACTTCTCATGGAGCCTCCACACTTTTACGCAGTTGTCATCACTGCCAAGAAGGAATCTCAATTTGCCACTAAAGATGATAGGGCTTCATTTAGTTGAGGTCTAGTGCACTGAGGACAACATCACTTCACACAGAGCCAACAATGGTGTGAGTATCCATTAGCAACACACATAATAGGCACCATGATATCAAGTGTCCTTCAGCCTGACACCTTGTAATAGTACAGATAGGCCAGGGTCACATATTGATAATGCTGTCGGTTGATAGGTGATGTTATGGTCCTTTTGGCTATTGGTCTGCCAAGGACATTTTGAGCGTGACCACCATATATGTGATCTCTCTCATCCCAACCCTTCCTCTCAATAAAAAAAGGGAACTACTCTGATATGTACCCTCAAGGCGCCAAATATTTTTGGTGAGAAACTCCACGCTGCCATATTGCTATCTAAATTTTTTGTCTACATTTCGAACTTTAAGCCTAAAATGTCTCCATGGTTTTCGCGAATGCAAAAAAAACCGTTGTGAACATGCAATTTAAGCTAAAAATCCAAAACAAAAAATTTAGATAGCAAAACCGTGAAGTTTCTAACCAAAATTATTTGACAAGAGTCCATGTACACAGGGATATGTTTTAACTTAAAAAAACATCTACGAATGGCACCATCTAGACAACAAACGAATTTACGAACTACGCACACCTCGCTTTAATAAATTAACATAACAACATTAATTTCAAAGAATACCATGTACACAGCGTTCTGTTTCAACTTTAAAAAACATCTACGAATTGCACAATTTAGCCGGTACGCACTAATCAACAAAATAACTAAAATAAATTTCAAACAATTCAAAAAAAACAACAATAACGACAGAAATTCATACTAAAAAAAACAATGAACATAACATTCTACAAAATAAGAACAAGAATAAAATAAAATGCACTTACCATTAATGCTTTTTCGAACAACAGAAATACCAATTTCATACCGCCTTTAACATACCGCCACGTAATCACTATCGTATTTATATGACAGCCAGACACACTATCCAGAAAATTCATACTATGGTTCACAAATAAATAAAATAACAAATAATCACAAATCCCTACTTCTATCACGCACAGCCACTAAAAATAATCTCCCATACCTTCTTTCCACACCTCCAAATACCCATTGCCCCTCAACAGGAAGGCCACGACGATATTTCCTTATGCCGAACTTCAATTCAACAATTTTCACCATTAAATCTTTCCCCCCTAGCTTCTCAGACACAAAGCATGACGGGAACCAACAAACTCCAGCGAAAGATTTTGCAACGTCAACAGGCATACAACACGCAACCGCGCCAAAATTAGGGCGTACAGTCAAAAGTCGTTAATCCGGACTCGTTGGGACTTCAGCGATTCCAGATTATCGATTTTTCCGGATTATAGATCATCAGTTTAAATCTCGTAAGATGGCATGCAGAAATTCTAAAATTAAAAATATGAAACCGTAATTTATGAAATAAAGAACAATTATGATTTAAAGGGTATCAAAATTTACAAAAAAAAAAAAAAAAAAAAAAAAAAAAAAAAAAAAAAAAAAAGAGCTCGATATTTATTTGTTTACTTTATTAAACATTTCTTTTAATGTAAGTTGTTTAAGTTGCTTCGTTTTATGTGATAATACTTTCACTTTAATTCTATAAACAGACATAATTTCTTGTTCAGTTACAAAGTTCCGCTGTTCAAGTCCCGTTAATTGCTGTGCCGAGAATACCGACTAACTTGTCAATCGAAATTTTTTCGTTTTCACTAATCTCTCTGTCACATTCTTCATGCCTTTATCCATTTTATGCAGCAATTCCACTTTTTGTTTGTTTGACATCGAAACATACTTTCGTTTTGTAGATCCTTTGGAAGTTCCAGCATCGGAAATTCTATTTGACATAATCAAAAGTTCAAGTTTACTTTTATAAAATTGCTCTTACAGTCTGCAAAAAATAATAAGCGGGATCCAATTTGAAGATTAAGGAACAACACAATCATTAACATTAACTGAAATAGATAATTAGATAATTTTAGCTTACACCGTCCGTTATACATTAAACGCGCAGGCAGAAACGTATTCTGCACTTGCGCACACGCATATGCGCAGTAGTTAAGGTCTTACACGCACGCGTAAAACGCCTGTGCGCATGTGCCAACGCGGCGCATGCGCAGAAAGTTTTTAGCTTTGAGGTCCGGATTATAGATCATTCCGGATTATGGGTGTCCGAATTAACGACTTTTGACTGTATATCAGAGTTGTACCAAAATAAGATTGCTTAGGTAGTGGACTATTTGCTAAACTGACCACCCGGCTTCCATCATTCTGATGACTCTTTCCCCTTTTAAACTCTAATTGTAATCTCTAATGGCAGTAAAAAGCATTCTTAGTGAAAAAATGTCCCATTACAACAGATTAATGCCTCTGCATACTTTTTTTAAAGGGCCAAGTAGAACAAAGCTCAGTGCCATCTGATGGTTATGCAATTTTCAATCATGCTGTATTTTGAATCATTTGCATATCTACCTGACCCGGACCTTCGTGCCATGTGTCATTATGATTGGATAATTACTACTTGGTGCTCAAAAAGTGTATAATTATACATGTCTTGAAACTTTGGTATTTTCCCTACGTTAGCTATTGTTTCATATATACTTGGAAATATGCCAAAAACATGGCTATTTTGGAAAAAGTTGAAACCTTGACTGCTATAACAAAAGCACTTTGCTTTTTCTGTGTCATCTTGGGAGCTTTTATCAACAAAGAGAATTTAGTATTTCATGATAGATATTTCTTCCTTTCCATAACTCCCAATATTACTAATAAAATTATGGATTAAAGATTTCAGCATATTGTATCTATGGAGACTGATATCTTATTTATTGAACTGTGTATTTGAAGTAAACGAGTTTTAAAAAGACAGTAAAAGATGTTCAATGTTTTAGTACTTTTCAGCAGTTAATAATAATAATAATGTGCTTTCTTTTCGAACATATATATGGTACCCTTAAAAACATAGTATGGGTAATGGATTGAATAAGCATAAATACAAATTTAGTTTTAGGAATTTAAAAAATTTAGATACTTTAAAATTTTTAGAATGATACAATTAATAAATGTGTGATCAGCAGATTTGTATGCATCTGGAAAACCTAAATGATCAGTAGTCAGGCTAAAAATTTTCCCGTAATAATGGAGCTTTTTACATATATGGATCTAATTCAAATAAGTTTTGTATAGTGACTGTTCATAAAAATATGACAAATGTTGCAAACATTAATATATTTATGTATATTTTCAACTTGATTTCTTTTCATAGATTTATAGCCTTATTTTATGAATTATTTTTATATAAAGTGATTTTTTGTTGCTATATAAAGTAGTATTTGTTTAACAATATTTTCAACACTGGTGAATTTTAACATGTAAGAATTTCTCATTTGTGAGTATTTTGTTTCTTTTCAGAACACTGATTCATCTTTGCTTCCCACTATTAGTTTTCCTTGTTTTGCTACTCATGATGAGCTTCTATATAACAGAACTAAAGATAAAATTGTCCGTAAGCTTCAAGGCACATATGGCTTCAAGAGGTTTCTTAGAGATGGTTATGGTACAGCAGTTGAAGATATCACTCAACAGTATTATGAACAAGGAGAGACTAAAGTAAGTTTTTATATTTTTCAATAATTACTGTATTTTTAATTGCATAAATTATGAGTACACTTGAAAACTTATGATGACTACATTTGAGTTTTTGTGAAATTAAGTAAGTTATGCCATATTATAGTTCAATCATAATAATCTTATCATGTAGACTAGAAGAGAAACATGCTAATGTGACAATCAAAATCGTAAAAACAACCTTGTCTTTAGTGTAAGTATATTGAAATACTCAATCAATTTCAAGGGCAGCTAAAGGTCTCTCCTCATCAGGAGAAAGAAATACATAGTAAGAAGAAAAATAAAGGGGAAGGAGTCTCAGGCTATCTGATCAAACATGCAACACAAAGGACAAGAAAAATTAGCGAAGTTAAAAATAGGGAGCGAGGGGCAACTGCACCTTCACACTCAAAATCTGAACTTCAGATAATGCTGATAAGGACCACGTGTTTCTGAGACTCCTTCCCCTTTATTTTTCTTCTTACTATGTATTTCTTTCTCCTGATGAAGAGGGACCTTTAGCTGCCCTCAAAATCGATTGAGTGTTTCAATATACTTACGCTAAATACAAGGTTGTTTTTACGATTTTGATAATCTTATCATATGTTTATTTTTTACATTGCAGATCTTCCATGCACATTTCTATTTAGAATAATTTAACTAGAATAATCTATATAATAATGAATGGTAACAAATGTATTTTAATTGTTAAAATGTTGTATGCTTTATTATAAATTGCTTTATCCTTTTGTAAAATAATTTTACACCTAATATCAGTATTAGATAATACATATAGCCAAATTGTACTGTAAATATCATTCACTCATTCAGTAAATTATTTTTTGACTGAAAACCTTTCTGTAATTTAAATTTTTCAGGAATTTGAAAACATTGAATGTGAATGGCCATTGTTTTTCTTATACATGATCTTGGATGGTAAGTTTCTGATAAATAAAACTTAAGCATTGAATTTATAAAATAAAAAAGATAAATACAGCTTTTTAATTAACTAGTGATTGCTTCTTTTTTTTTAAAGGAATTTTTGGTATTTTTAGATAATGTACAGTACTTGCGGCTGATTAAACTTAGGCACTTATTACATTCAAATTTCCAAGAACCAAAACATGCATATTAATCAATAGAAAACTGACTTTTATTAAACTCAGATTGGCAAAAGACTGATTCTTCAATTCCAGAATATCTTACTTATACATATGAAAATATTATACATATGAAATATACATATGAAAATATTTTGTATTTTATCCATTGTGGACTGTAACTTGATCATTCAGGTATGTAGTGCTTCAATAAAACAGTTTTAACTGAAATGTTCCTGTTCTACAGTCCTTGTTCTTGTGAGGCACTGTTTTCAGTGTTCTTTGTCTCTGCTGGACTTCAACAGAATTTCTTTATCTTAAGATTAACAAAAACAATTTTCTAGAGGCATTGTAAATGAATGTAGGTTCCTTCTCAAATTCCAAGCTGATAGCTTTTATGCTTTCCACCTTCAGAATCCTGTCTCGGGATGACTACATTATGTTCACAGAGAGTTATATAAAGTTTAAAAAATGCTTCTAAGCATTACCATAAATTATGAGTTATTGAATAGGAAGGAGGTGGTAATTGTGTTTTGGAGAAAACACAAAGAAAGCCTTATAATCATGATGTGGTAGTTTGACTAAACAGATAAAGGGGAGTGAAGTCCAAATAAATCATTGGAAGGAGCATTTTTTTAAATTTTTTGTGTGCGCAACTTGTAACATATTAAAATGCCGCGTTTGAATGTCTTAATAATAGTAAGCTTGAATACCTTCCTTAAGCATGAATGCCTTAATAATAGTTGTCAAAGCAAAATTACATTTTAACTGTGAATTTCCCAAACAACATTTAGCAGCTTACTTAACTCTTTGAAGGGTGGTGGTTACCTTTTTTTATTGAACGTCTTACTCACTCGTGTGAGTGGTTTTCAAGACTGACCATTGTAGACTGACCTTGTAGCTCACTAGATGACAATTAAGAAACATAAGCCAATCACGAAACATAAGGCAGTAGCTGATGCAGCAATTCCTCTTTGAGAAAATAAGCGTCAGCCATCGAAGACAATATCACGATGATGAGCACTCTGCAGCACCAAGAAAAAGCCTGTAAGAATAGTGTGGGAATGCAGCACATGCAAAGTTGCACCCTGCTTGAAAAAGAAAAACTGTTTCCCTGAGTACATAGAGACTAATTTGTAGGGATATGTCCTGTGGGCTGTGGTCACTGACACTAACCACCAGAAGTGTTCATTTTTTTCACGTGTCTTGAACAAAGTATGTGTAATTGTCGCAAATAATTTCATTGTAACACCTGATGTAGTAAATAAAACAAGAGTTTTACTGAAAAAGTAAATTGCTTTTTCTTGCCCCTCAAAACATTAAGCAAGGAATCATAATTAATGAAGAACTAATAAAAATATGTAAATATCTCTTTGAAGTGAAAAAAAAAAAAAAAGACAAAATCGAGAGGCTTTAAAATTGCTTATCTAAAATGGTTTCAAGCTGTTAAGTTGAAAAGAAAATGTGTCTGCTTCTAGAGCTTTTTTACTAATTCACTAATTTGAGAGTCTTTTATATCAACTCACAAATTGGAGAAAGAGAAATCCAAAACTATTCATCAAACGTTGTGCGATCGTCATGCAACTGATTGCTGGATAAAAGAAGTTTTTATTTGGGCTGGTAAATGAATATAAGCTGCTCAAAATTCATAATACAGATAAAACTGAACTGCATTACAGAGCATTGCCAGAAAAAACTGTTACAGGGTTACAGAACATTAAGAAGACCTCAGTTTGTAAATAGAGTCAAGAATTTATTTCTAACTTAACCATAATAACAAGAACTCATGGATGACAAATAGTATTTTTTCTGATTTTCTTTTGAAAAGAGACAGCAAACAGAAAAAATAAACAAATAGCTTTATTGTGCAGCACATGTATCTCTTTCTAAAAATCATTAGTGTTTCTTCCTGCAAATGTAACTTTTAACATCCAATTTTTATTTTAGGGTGTTATGAAAACTTTCAGATGTCATTACGAAAAACATGTTCAGTAAATGATGAAGAGAATCAGTCTTAAAATCAGTTAAAAACTGTTTTTGAAAATATGGCTTTTACATAGAAGAAACCTCTGAGAGATTGCAAATTACAATTAATGTTTCAGGTGTCAAATAGGAAAGTTATGACATGGCTTTTGTCAAAAAGAAACTTCATAGGAATTGCAAACTATAGTTAACGTTTCAGATATCAGAGAGGGAAGTTATGAGTATTCATTTTTAGACTATGTGTCAATTCACAGCAATAGACTATAAAAATTGACTATGAATGTTTAAAGAACTGTAGAAACTGACAGTAAACATCATACATGAGAAAAGGGATGACTTACCATCATTAGTCGAATCTAAAAAAGCACTGAAAATTCTAAGAACGATTCTTGAACTGAAAGGGGCTGTCAGCATTTTTGAGAAATTGAGAAGGCATTCGAAAACTATTGTTGAACAATATAAATAAACACAGATAGAATAGATCTTTATAAAAAAAATTTCATTAAAAAGTTAATTATAAAAATTTTTTATAAAAGAAAATTTTAATTTAAAATTGTGTAAATAGTTTGATTTTAGTAATGATTTTTAATTATTATTTTAGGATTAAATAGTTATTATTTTAATTAAAAGGTTGATTTAATTAATATCATTGTTTGCAGTATTACAAATTTCCATATATTAAATTTAGCTGCTTAATAACCTCAAAACGTGATTTTGATAAGTGGCAGTTACTATGCTGATCTTCTGATTATCTGTACATTCTCCCCCCCCCCCAAAAAAAAGTTTTCAGATCCTTGCTTAAAATAGAAAATGTTTAACTCTTATGCAAAAACTTACATGTTTTGGTGCATTGAATCTCATCATCTAAGATTCAAGATTATGTTAAAAGCTTAATGCTGATTCTGAAATAGCATTAAGAAAGGAAAGATTCTGAAATGGCGTTCTTTATAGCTGAAAAACTGATCTTTGAAACTAAAAGAGTTAGATTCAGCTAACAGCACTAGACCTTATTGAAATTGTTTCTAATATCTAAGGATTTGGAGTTTAAATGAAAAAGACACAGAAGAGAAGATGGAAAAAAAAAAAAAAAAGATATGGGATTTTTATTAGAGAAAGACATTCTTAATGCAAGAAGATCATGCAATTGAAAAATTCATAGAAGAAAAGGAAATTGAGGATAAAGAGCAGGAGTGGCTACTATGGGACCAACATGTGTGAACAAGCTGTTGGATTTAAATGAGTGAATAAACAGAGTTTGAATAAAATGGCACTGTTTGCTAAATTGGCTGAAATGATGTCAACATGGCTGTGAAAATGTAATAAGAGATTATTTCTAGAGAAAAAATTAAAATCTAATTCATTTAAAATTTCTGAAGTGTTGGAATTTTGTGTATTTTTACAATTAACCTTATTTTCTATTATTTTTGTATTTTGCTCGGATAATCAGGAGTTCAGTGTATTTCTAATAATTATAAATGTTTAAAAGTGTGCATTTTAAAAATTTTATTTTATTGATTTATTATTATGCACACTTTATAAAAAAAGTATTTCCAGTAGTAATGTTTGTGTATTAATAAAAAAAAGTACACATTTTAAAATATTTTTTAGAGTTGTAGAATTTTTTCTTTTATTTGTTTATTTAATTTATTGTGTATAATAACTGGATTGTGTGTAATAATGGGATTTTTTTTCTGTATATAGTAATGGGAAACCAATCAGTAACAGAACGTTAATGAGTAAAAGTCAGTGAGTCATAACAGAAAATAGAACATCAGATGTTGTCATATTCTTTAAGTATACCTGATGACTTTTAAATTTAGTCAGATTCTTTGTTTTCAGGCTATTTTTTCTCTAATTTTATTGAAAAAAATCTAATTGAAATTGCGATATTATCCTCTTTGAATCAAAATTTTCATTATTAGATAAAATTAATTTTCTTATGTAATCAATGCTTTCAATAATTATAAAGAGTGTTCAAATGGAAAAGTGGAAAATGACGCTATGGATATAATTGAAGTTTTTATTCACAAGTAATCACCACAGGCAGGAGCACAACTATCCCACTGTTCCACAAATCAAAGGATTCCCTGTTCTCAGACTTCCTGTGGCTGTGACAGGAAGACTCCCACTGCGTCCTTCAGTTCTTCGTCTGAAGCGCTTCCATTTGAGATGTGTTTTTAGCAGACCAAGCACATGGAAATCACAGGGCTACGTTTCCTGGTGGATGCTCAAGCTGCTTCCACTTAAACTTGGTCATTACACTTTATGTGATCTTGGAGACCTGTAGGCACACATTAGCATGGAGCAGAATCATCCTGCCATGAGCAGCACAGGTTGTTTGCTCTTGGCATAGGTTATGGAGTATCTCGCAGTTCACGTCACCGTTAACGTGTTTTCTTGGCTTGAGGAATTTGATGAGTACCAAACCTTGAATGTCAAAAAAGACAGGGAGCATCACCTTAACTGCTGAGTGCACAGCTTTGAACTTTTTAGGGAGAGGTGACAACTCATGCTTCCATTGCATGTCATTCTGCTGTGTCTCTGGCTCGAAGTGATGGCACCAGCTCTCGTCAGCAGTGACGATCCCCCTCAAAGTCAGACCTTCATGATATCAGAATAGGTGTTGCAGTACTAGCCCTAAGCACAGTTCCCTTTGCTAATTCGCTGAGCTGAGAACCCACTGCATGCACACCTTCCAGTAACGCAAACTGTTGTGCACAGTTGTACGCACTGCTCCAACGCTGGTTTCCACCATCATTGCCAACATTCGCATTGTGACATGTTGATCATTTCTCACCAGGGCATTCACCTTGTCAATGAGTTCAGCCGTGATTACAGTATTTGCCTGGCCTCCTCTCATGTCATCACTCAAACACTCTCAGCCTTCATGAAAGTGGGCACTCCACTTTATCACTGGCTTTTCAGACACAGCCACTATCTGGCAATGAATATTGGCTGGTTTAATTCCTTCCACAGTCAGAAATTTGGTAGCACTTTACTGCTCCTCTGTCATCGAATTTTGTAATGTGAACACCATGCTCCTTGCACGCACTGCTGCATCAGTTGGACGGAACACACTACTGACTACGTCATATGTGGTCACCCCGCATGTGCACAACCATGCCAGACACTACATTTGTGTTCCTAGATGTCCCACTACATTATCCCAAAGTAACATATTCAAATTTCAACTGGTTTGGTTGTTACGACATTTTGTATCTTTTCATCTGAGCACCCCTTGTAATTATATCCATAGTCTAAGATAAATACAACAGATTTTTCTTTTCAGAGATGACTTTAAGTCATGTCAGTTTTAATATCTCAAATTAAGTTAATGTTTCATCATTAACTGTATAACTGAGCGATAGTTCAAACATTTAAATCCATAAATATCTATGCATCCCAGAAATATTTTGCTTAAAAGAAAATTGTTTATTAAATTTGATGTCTTACTCCCCTCTGCTATTTTAATATATAGATCAGTTTTCATTCATAATAAAATTCATTTTGAAACTTTTATGTTTTTGTTTATTGATTATCTATAATTGAAGTTATGCATTTTAAACATTCTAATTTCAGGAATATTCAAAGGAAATGATGAGCAAATAAAAAAGTATCGTCATTTATTGCATCCTAGATTAAAAGTTGACAGATATGGAAGTAAGTTTAATTTATTCTTAGCAGTTTACAGTTGTACTCATTATTTCTTCATGAAAATTTCGAAGATATTTTTCTGTTGTGAATTTTATCTCAACGTTTTCTATGAAACTTGAAATATCATTTTTATGATAGCTAAAGAAACTGTAATTATTTTGTTGATGTGTTTAAAAGAGAAAATAAAAAAATTTACATTTTTGATATAATGTAAGGGGTAAATTTTATGCTTAAGAATGAGTGTGTACTTTGCCATGATCAGTTAACTTAACCTTTATGCTTTTAGAAGACTACTTGGTTGCTTTATGGATGATCTAAGAATGACAGCATCTTTTTAATTGCTAAAATATATATTTTCTTTGAATTTACAGAAAAAATTAAATATTATATAATAACTCATTCATAAAAATCTCTTCAGCTTTTAATACTTCAACATGCTTTTGCTGGAGAAAGTGCAAAAGTTTTCAAAATAGAAAAAGTTGCTAATGTAAGATTTTTTTTTTTACTGTCAAATAGTCAGGTGGACGAGACTGTTGGGTATTGATACTTCACACTCAAGATTCAGTCATCAATGACCTTATGAAATTTTCACGTTACTCCCCATGAGTAATATGCATATAAGCCACTTCCTCTTAGAAAATTTTTCCCTGAAGATATCCCTCCTAAGGCAGCTCTGGAATGCATTACTATAAAACCTAATCCAAACTACCTGACTTTTAGCTGAATGATTACCAACTAATATATAATAATTGCCATTTTAAATTTCATAATCTTTTATCTCTGTTTCTTTTGTGTCGTGTATTAAATATGAATAAGTAGTTTTTGTTATCAAAGGAAAAGTCTATTTCAACTTTTTGGTTGTAGGTTTCACACAGCAAAGATAAAATTTATATTAGTTTTCAGGTGTTAAATCTAAGACAATCAAATTTCAAAAATCTTTTCTTGTTTTCCCTCTCTCTCTCTCTTTTTTTTTTTTTTATTTCATAGTAACTTATCTCTTAATTCCAAAATACTGTGTGTTTTTAATTTATACTTGCAGCATTTTGATTAATTAGTCTGCTGCATTCAAAACATAATTCCTTAGTCCTTTGTTTTAGTACTTATTCCTTAGTTACTTGTAATTCCTTAGTACTTATTCCTTTGGGATGCATATACTTGTATAACAGTAAACATAATCTGGAATATTATTACATTCAAATTGAAACTTATAATGATTAATCATAGTGAAATATTGATATAGTCTTATGTTGAGAAACCAAGGAGCTACCAATTTAGCAAGTTAAGACAGTTTTCCTTTTTTTCTTATCTCCAAAATGAAAACTTGTGTCCCTAAATGGTGAAAAATTTTAAGCTCAAGGCTTGTTTTATCACCTGTTACATCTAACTCAATGTCAGTTAGATGCAGTGTGCGGTTTGTAATGTTTTTATATCACCAACTGTGCAAAAATAAATAAGATCTTATGCCATGACTATTTTTTAATGAAAACTCTCCTGTATAAATATAGACTATTAGCATTTTTCACATTACAATATTATATTAATATTATCACATCCAATATGTTAATGAACATATTGCTTCTTGTAAGAAATAAATAATAAATCTTAAAATAAATAAATAAAATTGTGAAGTAGCTGAAAATAAGTTATTTTTTCTAATAATTTTTATTATAGAAACATTTTTAAATGTATAAAAATGTGAAAATTTCCTAAAGCTTTCCATTCATATGAAAATTAAATGCAGTATCCCATCTTTAACCAGATAAAAATGCTTGTTGTTTTATTTTGAATTAGATGCTGTTGTTCCAAAATACTTTTATGTACCAACATTATGCATCGATGCTGAGAGGAGAGATCCAGGCTCACAAAAAAGGATTGCAAGTGCAGAAGGAGATGCTGATAATTTATATTTACATGGGCAAGCTCTATACATAATGTGCGAATTATTAGGTATTTTTATTTTATTCTATATTATATTCTAAGTAGATGTGTGAATTAGAAATAAAAGAAAGTAATAAGATTTTGATATGTATTGAACACAGAGATTGTTAAATGTGTTAATTTTTTTATGGTACAGAACTGATTGATGAGTTTATTTCTCTTTATTTATTCAACTCTTCCATTTATTTCTTAGTACAATTCATGTTTGACCACTGCATATTAATTGTAATTTTTGAAAATTAAAATTAGCATTTATTCAAGTTTTGGTATTTATTAACATTTTCTGTGCCATTTCTTGTTTACTTTGTAAAACATATTAAAATATAATCTAAATCTAAATAAATATTGATATAAAAGTTAATCTTACAGTAGCCATTTAGAACAAGGCTTCTCAAATGTTTTGTGCTTTGATTTGTCTTAAAATGCTTTTGGGGGGAGCCAATTCCTTGAGCAAATTTGCTTTAAAAGACATAACCGTAAATAACAACTCATAAGTTCTTATTGTATTGTTTTTTAGTCAAAAAAAAAAGGAGCTTATTAGTACAATAATATATACAGAGTAATCATTAAAAAACTTCACTGATATATGACTACTTTGGAAGAAAAGTAACACAACTCAGAAACCATTAGCTTACAGAAAAACCAAGATGATTCCACAAGATATATTTTTATGTGGAAGGGTATCCAGTTACTTTTGTAACACCCTTCATCAAAGTATACAGGATATTTTCATTTTGATTATGACATAAGCGAACAATCATAATTTTTTTAGTAAAACCAGTTTTCTTCCAAAGTAACAATATGAGCTAATGGACTCGTAGCTAAATGGATATGAGGTAAATGGACTATTTATTCAACCATTTGAAATGAAATTTTAAGATATTGTTATTTGAAGGTATGCACTTAAGATTTTAATGATTTAAAACAATAGAGCTCTCATGGTTTTGGTTAAAGTGAAAAAATTCATAATTTTTGAATGAGAACAGCCTTTTTTTTCCAATGCAAATTGATCAGTACACTGAAAAACTATAAATGGTGTTTGAACAATGCATTTATCACAAAAATTGCAGTATAAGATATTTACAAAGAAAAGCATTGTAAACAACCAATGACAACATAAAAAGGAGGTGCATTGAACACACCCTTCCATAATTCATAGGGATAGACAGTAAAAGCGCCAATCACAGATCACCATGTGTAAAGCATTGCTTACACATGGTGTTCTGTGATTGGTGGAAAACCTTAAATAAGCGATGTTTGTTGAAGATTGTCTCTGAAATCGGGTGTTCGAACGTGCTAACAAGATGATACGTACAGGGAAACAAGGAGGTGAATTAATAAAGCTATTTTACCTCATGCTGCCAAAGCGAGTTTATCAATGAAATCAAATCATAAACTGAAGTGAATTCCATGTTCCATAAAAACTTTACATGATTTGGTAAAAACATTTGAAGGAACTTGATGTGCATGTGATAGGCCATGATCCTGCTGTGTTATGATCACATGTTCCTGAATTTATTGCAAAGGTGCATAATATGATTACTGCAAGTCCATTGCATACGGCAAGAAGTGTTTCCCGCGGTTTGGATGTGCTGAAAACCACAGTCCCCAAGCTTCAACACTCTGTTCTGCAGATGTTTTTTTATTGATTCTAGCCAGTTCAGGTGTTGCGCCCTGAAGGACAAGTATCACTGCGTCAACTTTGAACATTTTTCCTCATCAGGTATGATGAGAAAAAAAGGTGGCTGCTGTGGATATTATGAACGCATGAGGTGCATTTCTCCTTAACTGGGAACATCAAGAACTGTGTTCACTAGGCTGATGAAAATCCTCACGATGCGGCACCAGCACTTTTATATGTATGAAGTAAAGTGATTATGTGATTGGACATCACAAGTGCGTTCGTTCTCAGTCCATGCTTCTTTGAAGAGGTTATTTCTGTAGGAATGAAAATGTGCTTCCTCGCAAGTACTCTGTATATAACAATACTACAGAATTACATAACTCCAGAATTACAACAGTGAAATGTTATTAGTTACATTGTATAGATGAAAGATACTTCTCCTCCACATGTCTCCACGTGTCTTCCATGTGTTTGCCAAGTGCTACAATAGCTCTTTGCAAATAGTTATCTTCCATAACTTTGCAATCCCCTGATCGCTGTCCATTGCATATCTGGTTCTGGTGTTGTCTGAAATCCAAGGTGTACATATCAGATCCATGAGATTTGTCTGAATTGAGAGATGTCATAAAATATGAATTTATACAGATCCCGCTGGCAATGTTATGTTTATCATTTTGTCAACAATCTCCCATAAGCAGTGTGTTATCGTCTACAAAGGTAGGCTCATTGAAAACTTGTAGTTTCCCCCCTCTCCTTTTTTGTGTTGTCATTGGTCCTGCACAATGGTCTTCTTTGCAAATGCCTTACACCGGCAATTTTTGTCATGCGTGTATTATTCCAATGTCATTATGGCTTTCAATGCACTAACCAATTTGTGCACAAAAAAGGGGGGGCATTGCTATTTGAAAATTTCATAATTTTTTCATTGTAACCACAACTGTGAGAGTATTGTTTTAAATCATCACAATCTTAAAGTGCATACCTCAGATAATGATATCTGAAATTTCATTTTGATTGGTGGAGTGGGTTTGCCGCTAGGGGTTCATATATTGGGCAAGATTTTCTGTGACCACTTTGTATATCTGTACATAATAAAGCAGTCTTTCATTATGTGTAATAGTACACTATGTTGTTATTATAGCATAGTAATATTAAACATATCATTTCCAGTAGCTGAAGATTCTTGCATGTGATACATTCTTTTTTCTAGGCTTTTTAGGGCTGAAATTAACTATTGTTTCATTAGTATGTTAGCACTTTTAATTTATTTTTCAGTATCTATTAGATTTTAGTACATTTCATTTTTTCAAGGGCCAGACAGGAAAAGCAATGACATCATATATATTCACATATATAATTTCTTTTTGTATTTAAATCTACTTTTAATTAATTCTTTGCATATGATTTCAAATTTGAGGTACTTTAATTCAGGTTTTTGGAGTTTATATTACTAAAAATTTCTTTCCTCAGTTAGTTTTCATTGTATTCTTTGTATAAAATTAGTGGTGTAATAATTTTTTGATTGTAGTGGATGGACTTCTCCACATTAATGAACTTGACCCAATTAGGCGTTACTTGCCATCGTACAACAGACCACGGAAAACTGGACGTTATTCTGCATTCCAGGTGATTTAATGTGTGATTATCCCTTAAATAATGCAACAATATATTTTTCCCTTTGTTTAAATTAATTAATTTGAAATGAACACTATCATACTAAAAGGTAAAGAATATGCATGGGTTATTTATGGGTAGTTGTTAGAGAGTGAAATGCCTTTTTAACAAACTGCTTTGCAAAGTATGCAAATTCATTTTTTCCTCTGATAATATGTAAAAATGGTTATTCATTGCCTTACCATATTTCAGGTTATTTAATCCTCTGAGTGCCGTGGCTTTTTAAGATTTGTTCTTCAATAACTTTATTAAAACAACTTCCTTTACTAAATTTGTATAATTACTTTTTTCTCCATTTTCATAAACTTCTATTCATTAAGATGATAAAATAAGAAAATAAAATAAATTATCATCTAATATATACCAAATAATAAAAAACCTCATAACTGAATAAGTGCAGTCATGCCACTCAGGATGTTAATAATTGGTGTATTTTGAATAAGGTAAAACTGCCAGGAATCAAGAAAAACTTTTAGTTCAGAAATCAGGTAAAATATACTGGAACTCTTTGTCTTGAAAAATGCAGTGAGTTAAGTAAAAAAGTGCTGCCTGTTCGTTAACTTCATCTCAACCCCTCCTCCAAGTTCTCTATATTAGCTGCATAAGGAAGTTTTGCTTTTAAAATTTTTGTTTGTTAACAAGAGTGATTTATTAGAAGGTTTTATATTATTCTTCCAAAGCTGATTTTCATTCAGCATCATTTTCAAATTAAATAATTATAGCCTTCACTGAATCTGCTTTGCTCCTATTTATGAACAAAAGTAAGAATTTAGATCATTTAATGTTAATGAGAATTGTGAAGCATTATTTTATTAATAGTTACCCTAAATGTATTAGGCCTCTTTTATGTAAGACAGCAATTTGTTAGTAGAGAGTAAATTTTCTTTTTTCTCTACTAATTATGCCACTGCAGTGTTCCTCAAAGTTACTATAGAGGTTGTATATTTTGTAAGTCTTTCTGTTTATTTTTTCTAATAATAGTACATTTAGATTTCTAGTAGATTAAGAGTAAAATGATAATGTGCATTTCCTACAAATTTTTACTGTTTTTTTATTATTATTATTATTTATTTATTTAATGAAAATCATTTCTTCCATAATGTACTTTAATTTAATTAATAAATAATTTACCTAAGCTGTGCGCTTTTACTAAGATGCAGGGAAATTGCAAGTAAAAAAAGGCAATTTGTATTTAAACTATTAATGATGGGTTCACCCCCCCCCAATATACTGCTGAAATAACATTATAAATTTATTGATTGATAGTTTTAAATTACATCGTGCAAGTATAAATTCCTGGGAAATGAATTAGACATTGGAAAATAATGTTATGCAAAATCATTCACCTATATAGGTTTCTATAAATCCTCTCCCTTTTAAGATATCTCAGCTACCTATTAAAATCTGGGTTCATGTTCTTCGTAAATTATTCACCAAGTGGCATATGGACATTTTCCAGTGAATGATAATAATAAAATGCTAATCTTTTATATCTCTCATTTTTTTTTTTTTTTTTACTCTTATAGAATTTTATATCTTAAAAATTCAAATTTGTTAGTTTTAAAAAGTAAACTGTAAGCAGAGTTATATAAAACATGACACATAATTTATTAAGATACTGTGATCGCGGTGATTAATTTTTATTTCTAAAGTTACATGTAGAATTCTGTATTTAGTAAATGCAGATTTGGGCTAAGACCATTGATTTCATTTTAAACAAGTAATATTAAAAAAAATTGAAATCAATTCCTACTTAGGTCAACAAAGAAAAATTTTATTTTAGCTACTTTTTATTAACATTATTAAAATGTTTTTGTTTCTAATTTATGAAGCTGATAGTGGTCTATAATTTCTCATTCTATCCATCTCTTGTAATGCTTCAGTATTGCAAGGAAACTTTCCAGTGAGTTTCGAGCAGTCCAGTTCTTCAAGTTCCAGTTCACATTCTCCGTTTGCGAAGCAAAGGACATTTTAAAGGGTTATATTTTAAACATAAATTTTTATCACTTTAACATAGAAATATGGGGAGAATTTTCACTACATAATTGGACATTACATCTGCTCCATCCAACTCTATAAAACTACAATTCTTTAATTCCATACATTTTAACACGTTGACTGCCGTGGCGGTCATCAGTGACCGGCACTCAACTTGGCTACAGCGCGGTGGGTGTCACCGGCAACGCAACCAATAGTAAAATACATAATTAGAGTAAATATCGATACTGATAAATTTTTAAATAGTACCATTGTTACAATAATGGTTTGAAGAATAATAAATCGTAAAAATTTAAATTATAAATCATACTAGTGGTCTACAGTGCCTTTGTGACCCCCACCCCAAAAATGTATTAAGCACGATTATATAACTCACATTACCTTCTGTAGATAATGCTTCAAAATAATATGCATCGCATAATAAAAATTTCAAGTTGGCGTCATGGGCAAACGACATAAAATGCATGCGGCAGTCAGCGTGTTAAAAATCTTTAGAACTCTGTCTTACTGTTGCCACTTATTTTCGTTAAATATTACAATCCAACTTATCACAGTCATGTACTTTTATTTAAAAGTTGTTATAAAATTAATTTTTACAGCACATGAGTATTCCTAATAAGCGGTCATAATTTGTAAGTCTTATAATATATTTAATAAAAACAGCATATCTTTAGCTCCGATAAACAGGAATAAATAAGTAGGAATTAACTTTAATATGTGAAAAAAACTGTATTAACATCAGGTATCATCCACTACAAGTTTAAAAAAATGTATTTGAACTTGAGTGGATGAATAAAAAGTATTTTATTAACGATTGAAAATTTGAACAGGATAGAGGGAGAGTGTGAGCTGATAGTAGGAATTTATAAAAGAGAAATTTTAACATGGTTCAAAGGAATGCATGGTCTCTCATGTACGAGAGAAGAAATTACTTTCCATTTTTAAAATTTCATAGTACTAAAAGTAACAGTGAATTGAATAATGATTGAGTTTTTGTATTCCCTTCCATCTGGTAATTTTCCAAAGTACTGTCTTTTTCAATGTGATTGATTTTCATAGTTTTTTTTTAAAAAAATTCTGTTTTTTATGACTATTGAGCTGCGAATATAAATGAGAGAAAGTGAAAAAGCAGATTTTATAATTCGTGTGTACTAAACAATTGTGGAGTTTTTAATATGTGTCATTTTTGTGTTTACTTCTAAAGCATTGTAAAGATTAGACCTAATACAAGTTCATATAAGCATTAGTAACATGTCTTAGAATTTGCTGTTAATGAGATACTGCATGTAAATTTTAAAACTTTTAAAACTCAGCAAGTAATTATTTATGAAAGTGGAAATTTTGATTTATAAATTATACATATTATAAACTTGTTCTTGGCAGTCTGAACAAAATATTGAAACGGGTGATAATAAATGTTTTTAAAAACCATTGTAGTCTTTAGATATTTCTCTGATCTACATAAATAAGCATGTCTAACAGATGTACAGTTTTCAATTCATGTAGTGTCAGGTTTTTCTGTTAAATTCTACCCAGAGTGTGAAATTACTGAATCACTTTGATGGCTGGTAGTCAACTATGGATATCTTGGTAGCTGTTTTTTGAAGAGTTTCTAGCCAATTCACTCCTCTAAGTTGGCTTTTATTTGTTATGTGTTGTAGTGTGCAATTATTGCATTTAAACCTGGCTGAAAATTTGCTTTGTTTGGATTTTCAATCAAAATTTTTAAAGTGCAAATATGATGGGCTTCAGCTGCATTGCATATGCAATTTTATTTTGATATACATGCTGACTGAACCTGTTTTATGTTAAAGATCTGAGATGTTTTTATTGTTATTTCATTGAAGTTCTCACCCCCACCACTTACTGTTAGACTTATACATAACAAAAATTAAAAAATTCATTTTTCAAATCATTTGTATTTAATTTGTTCTGATTTTTTGGGGAGGGTGGGGTGAGTGTATAAAAAAAAATCTGAAAGATTTCAGACTTTACATTATGCCCAAAAGGGCCTTACCTTCCCATTTACACATGTATATTTCAAGAACATTTGGGTTTATGTCCCTTTAGGCTAAAAATATTTAAAAACAGTATATCTTTAGAATTTTCGATAGATAGTCTCACACATTAAAAATAAAAATGTTTTTTCCCACGCAGTTTTGCCATTGCTCACTTTGAAATTGTTGAGTTTGTTATTAAAAAATTCGTTAAAGTTATAAAATATGAAACAGACAATAAAACAAATTCAAAATTCAGGTTTCCAGGTGTCCATGTTTGAGTGGAGGATTATGTTATTCAAACTTTTATGGCTGTAGGTGCCACCGTTTTTTCACGATGCAAGGAACGTACATATGTCATGCACATTCTTCATTATTTACTTTCTTTAAATGTAATGGGCGATAATATTTGGTGGAACAATTTAATAAGTGACACGCCATTTATAGTGAACTGATGCAAAATACCATTGCTAGACTGATAGCCCTTTTGAATAACAATATATAATATTAATGTTATAGTATTTATAAGTAGCATATTTAGAATAAACTTTATGTACTATAATATTATCTGAATGATTTTTTAAATATAACATTTTAATATATGATTATGTGGTATTAATATTCAGTATAGTAATTCACGATTTTTTTAAGCATATAAATAAAATTAAAGTACTATGTTTCAAATGTAGCAACACTTGCAGATAGGTTCTGTTGTGGTGATATAATTTAATTTAAAGATAGAACATGAATGTTAGAAACTAAATATAAATCTCTAATAATTAACAATGAGAATAGAATGAAATTTTGTTTATCTAAAAGTACTTTTTCAAAGTGGTTGTATTTTCTCCTTTCTTATATGTCGTCTTCATTTTCTATTCAGTTGTAATTTTCAAAGTAGTGTTGCATTTTACAATTTGATTTTTCAGTATTAAAAGGAAAATATTTAGTCATTAACGTTTAGAATGTTCTATTCTAAATGTACACAGTTGATATTATTGATCATGTTTTATTACTAAATATAATCAATACAAAAAATTTATTCATCTGACTGAAATATGGATATGCAGTGTAACATAGATTGAAAGTTTAAACAAATCAGTGATAAATCTGGAAATTTTCTAAAGCATAATGCCACTAAAAATTTAAGATTTCTAATCTGCATGTATGATGGAAATTAAAAAAGTATTAGAAAAATTCTGTAAAAACTGTAGTATTAAAAAAGTGTAAAGTATTGATTAAGTGGAATCCTTAGAGCTCTAAAATGTAAGACTCATTTAAAATAATTCCTATATCTCTTTCTTAAAACTGTTGTGAGAAACCAAGTTAGAACAATTATTCTGTTTTGCATTAAAGAAAAAAAAACTTCATCCCTTTTTTCTTCAATTATGTACAGGTATGATACACTAATAGTAAATGAAATGCCAACAAGAAGAAAAAATAAGTTTAGAGGAATGAAATGTAGGCAAAGCATTTGTCTAGGCAACATATTTATCTGATTAATGTTTTCAAGGTCACAGGTTAGAGTATGCACAAGAAGAGTGATTTCAAATGTGAAAGCGTGGTACATTAATAACCACTGTAGTTGCCATGGTGTTAAATGCAAACATACAAGTGTACAGCCACTATATGCCATTTTGTGGGATGGAATTCAATGCCTGTTACACTTAGTCAGTCAAACTAGCAATGGTTTATGCTGGTTGTAGATGGCCCTTAATTTGTTGTCCAATTATGTCCCATACATGTTTGATTGGAGAAAGATTGGATGATCTCATATCAACAAAGCAACATGTTGACATTATAGAGCACATAGGGTGATAGCAGCAGTATGGGGACAAGCATTATCTTCTTGGAAAATGCCCCCTGGATTGTTGTTGAAGATTGGCAGCACAATCAGTGCAGTCATCAATCTGACATACAAATTCACTGTCAGGATGTGCATGATAACAACAAGAGTGCTTCTGCTGTCATAGGAATATATTTTCTAAAAACCTTAACTATTAGTATTGATCCAAAGTGTATATGCTGCAGACAGCTTGGTATCATGTACTCACCTTGTCTCCTCGTAACCAACATACACCCATCACTGTAACCAAGATAGAAATGGTTGTCATCTGAAAACAGAACAGATCTCCACTCTACCATCCAGTGAGCTCTAGCTTGGCACCATAGTAGAAGAAAGTATTAATTTGGAGTTAATAGTATGACCGCTACAGGGCATCTGACTCTGTCTTTCAAGTAATCGATTTGTTACAGTTCTCTGTGTCATTTGGTGCCAACAAAATCTTGATTGTCTTCTGCAGTTGCAGTGTGATTCACCACAGACATGTGGCGAATATAGCAGTCTTCGCTTTGAGTGGTGGCATGTTGTATGGCTGGACCCCCCAACCTTCTTGAGATAGATGCCATGATCAAACATGCCTTCCAAATACCATTTATCTAGCACAACTCCTTCTTGTTATTGGGATGTCATTTTCTGTCAGTGTATTTATTTTTCATTAACACCCACCTATTTTTAAAGTAATCGAAGAACTAAATTCATTAGCGCCGAGAGATTTATAGAAAATCAAGCCTTTCTATGCTTAACCATCTAAGTGACGTGCCTTTTTGTATCTGCTTCCAAGGAACTGTTGTATTTAGAAAGCACTTTATTGCTAAATTTATATAATTAATTAATTTAATCACTTTTTCATAAATTTTCATTCATTAAAAGATAGTAAGATTAAGATATATCATTAAAGAAAATAAGGAAAAAAAAGTATTTTAATTAACAAGGCAATATATCTCAAAATGACCAAAAATCTGATGACCCTGCCTGTCAGGCATTTAAGAGACCCAGTTTTACATAAAGCTGAGGTAAACAAATCTTTCTGTTATCAGTCAGTCTGTTTCTTATCAGGCAGTGTTATTTTCATGTAAGAGTAATTTTTATGTGGTACAATGGTTATCTAGTGTTCAGGTGTTTGATTTGCATATAAAACAAAAATATGTAGTAAAGCTTACTGATAGTCCCATCATTACTGTCATAGCCTTAGATGTAATTCGATTTCACTTATGTTCATTGTAATGCATATTTTGCATTAATATTATAATGTTTCAATAGTGTTTTTCATGTTTTCAGCATAAGCTTCAGGAATAGAAGGGAATTCATTTAGATTAAAAAGTGAAATGACTTCTAAATGCATTTTGGATAAAAATTAAATATAGAATGTGCCAAATTATAGAATAGTTTGAAATTATCATGATAATAAAATTTGCACTCAAAGCTACTAAAAGCTTTTTTTTTTTTTTTTTTTTTTTTTTTTTTTTTTTTACGTGATTTGGCCACTGTATTTCATAGTATTTGTATAGCTGGTTTCAATAATAAATTTATAATATATATGGTGCTACTTTGGTAGACGGTTGCACAGATTTTTGGCGATTTACGTTGGCGCGATTTTTACAATCGTCAACCATCTTGAAAAACGCTGTTTTTACACATAGTAAAGTATTCGAAACTTAAAAAAAAAAAAATAAATATTGTTAAAAGTAATAGATTAATTTTTTGTTGAAAATGTCGTTTTTTAAGACGGCAGGCAAGTGTGAATAAATACATTTACTATGAGTATAAAATAAGTAGTAAACTAAAGTAAGGCTATTATTACTTTCATAAACTGCTATAAAAACACCGCTATAAAAACATTGTGCCAACGTTTAATTAGATTAAAATATTACTGAAATTGAATATTGAATTAAAAACCATCCTACCAACATTTAAAAGAATTAGAATATTATTAAATTCAAATACTTTAAAATACGTTTATATAAAATATATTAACATTAAAACATATGTGACAATAATTATCTCGGCAATTTTTGAAAAATAGTGTATTAATTTTTTTAAAAAAAATTGAAGTATATAATTATAAAATAAAAGAAAAATATGTACTACTCTTTTTTTATTGATAAGTACCACAAAAAAATCGAAATCATAATTGAATCGGCTCTTTTAACCATCTTCATCTGTTATCCACATATCTTGCACTTCATTGAAGAAGCAATTAGCGAGGTTTCCTCCAAAAATTTAAAATAAATTTCCTCTGACGCTATTAACAATTAAAAAATAAATCTTTTATTAGGAAAGACAGGTTGGCCAAAATAAGGTCTCAAAGGGCAATTTTTTATTCCAATACCAATAATTCTTGGTAATTACCAATAACAACATTGATCTTCGAAACGGAGATATTCATTCCATTTGAAATCTGAGGAATTCGAAGAGATGAATAATAAAATTTTAAAATGGCGCGGTAATGCACAAAATATTCAGTAACCAATCAAGGAGCTGATTATGCCATGCATAGAATTAAAATTATTTAAATAATCATTCATAATAAAATCATTTTTAAAACAAATGCAAAATTAAATTGTATTTTAATATTTAACAGCCATAAATAATGTTTAAAACATTAGATTAAATTTATAGATATTAATAAAACCAATTACTTTTTAAATAAGGTGATGTCATTGATTACATCATCCACAACATAAAATTATATAAAATATAAACAACAAAATTTTTATTTCAAATAAAAATGTAAAATTAAATTGATTTTTAATATTTAGAAGCTATAAATAATATTTAAAACATGGAAGTTATGCATAATAAAACACATTATTTTTTAATAAAATGACAACAAAGTATCAGTTACCATAAATAACTTATCCAGCAGTGGGTTTACCATAAGTTGTATTACTTACTCGCCAAAAGAAAAATCGCCAAAATCCGTGCAACCGTCTACCAAAGTAGCACCATATATATATTTTTAGAAAAATATTTCTTATGTATCAGTGTTTGTGTTTTTTCTTGTTTTAAGTATCTTTTAGCCATAAAAGTAATCATTTCACAAAAAACATGATACTGCTTTTTGTGACCTATTGCAGGTAAACAAGGTCTTAAATTATATTCACTATGCATTTTTATTGCAAGTATTTTGCTGGAGAAAAGTTATCTTTTACATCAGTGTCTGGTTTGAATTTCACTTATGAAAAATGTCATAGATATCAGTGTAGAAAATTAAGGAAGTGAAAATAGGGAAGAAAATAAATACCTCTGCTGATTATTTTATCAAAAAAGAGTAACAGTTAATAACAAAATAGTTTTTTAGGTTCTGTTGCTAATAAATGAAAATTGTATTTCTAAATTGTGTTTATTTTCTCTGTTGGGTTTTTTTAACCTGTTTTATACTTTTGCTGTTATCAATGCATAATTAATTTAATTTTGTGTCTTTACTTATAAATTATATAAATTTATTGTAGTCCATGCACTTTAAAATTCTAATTATTCATTCTATTTCATTTTCTGCATCTCTACCCAGGGAAAGGCAGCTGTAAGTATATACAAATATGTATTTTTCTTTATCTTCATTTTTTCTTTGCCAGGCTGTACATTTTTCGTGAAAATTAACTCATTATATTAGTGTGTTTTATGTGAACTGCTTAATCGAAATAACATTCCAATTTCTTAAACTAGTGCATGGATTACTTGATATTTTTGCATGGACTACCAAGTATTTTTGCATGTATGTGACTTAGCACACATAATTACAGAATGGAGGAAAAAAAAAATTATTTGGCTCTTGTTTTTCATCAATACTTGATGCTTTTATATCTTCTTATCATTTTAATATATGTATGTGTACAAAAATATTACATATATGTGCTATGTTTAACATTGGTTATGTTGATTTTTTCCTTCATGTTATTTTCTTTTTTCTCGTTCTCTCTCTCTCTCTCTCTCTCTTTTTTTTTTTTTTTTTTTTTTTTTAATCCTAATATTGCTTTCATCAAAATTTCATTTAAATGTATTTTGATGAACTTAGCTTTGTCTAAAATGTACTTTTTGGCCATATCTTATTTGCTTAAAATAATGCTTTCCTTTCCCCCCCTTTCTTATTGTTTGAGTATGTATATGTTTTTAAAACAAACTGAAAGCAAAATTGGAATGAAACAATATAAATGACTTTATAAAGATCTGCATATAACTTAAAAATAGTTTCAAATGTAAGAGGCAATTTTTTAGAGCTTTAAGTTCCCATATTGATGTATATATTCTTTTTAAATTGTTATGGTAATTTCACATTTAAAATAACTGTAGTTCTATTGTTGCTATTTCTTAATGTTGAAGCCTTTTTATATTCAGCCGTAATTTCCTGACTTCAATTTTTTTTTAATATATTTTAAGAGAATTTTGAAAGCAATTCATTGGTTAATATCTTAATCTCTGATTTCAGTGTGTAATATAATTTTTAAATTATTATTTTGTGTTAAGGCTAGGGTTTCTCCCTTTAAACTTAAAAAATTAAAGTTGAAAATTATGACTTTATCTGGAAATAAACTATCAGGATATGTACATGTTTCATGTAAAAAAATGCCAGATTTGTATAAATATTTCAGCTTTATATCTGACATTTTTGCAATTATTTTATTACCTTTTTAGGGCACTGCTAGTGATCTAGTTGTACAAGTTGTTCTTATTGCTGAAAGTATGAGATTACAAGCTATGATGGCTACTTATGGGATCCATACACAAACACCTCATGAAGTAGAACCTGTTCAAATATGGTCTCCAAGCCAGCTTGTTAAGGTAATTACTTCCATTTTAATTCAGCTATATTTGTAATTCAGCAGCGTGTATAATTCTGTTGTACAGTATAATATTAAAATGCATTTAATAAATGGGGACTGTTTCAGTATTACTAAAGCAACCTACTTATGATTAAATCCATGTTTTATTTATTTAACATCCCTGTGATAAAATTTTTAAATATCTCTCCCCAAGATATAAAGGATGTTAAACTCAAATAATTCTTTTACATTTCTGTGAAGCATCAAATAATCTGAGTATATAAAAGTTGAAAGTTAATTTATTGCTTTCTTCTCTTCTATTATATGCTTCTTGGAAGTTTCTTAAATAACACTGTGTATTTCCTAATGATGCAAATTTATGTAATTGATGTTTTATGATTTTATCACCAACATCTTAAAACATCCAGTTTTAATTAATTTTAGTCACTCAAAAGGTTTATATCCTGCCACCATATGGTACCCGCCAACGGCCAAGTGGTAAAATTGCTGAACACTAGTAGTTTGGTCTGAGTCTCAAATCCTGCAAACAGGCTGGCTGCATAGGCATTTTTGTGGTTTTTCTCATGTGTAATGTATATATACACTACGTAACACACATATATATATATGAGCCAGTTTCCCTTCACAAAGCCTTCCCTCCATTTAGGCATATAGCCCTTTGCCATAATTAAATAAGTCAAACCAAACCTGCTTAACTTTGTGTTAAATTTCTGTTGTGATGTACATAATTGTGTATATGCAATAAACTTTTAAGGAAAGTAAAATTAAAATTATTATTATAGTAATTTCTGTGCAAAGAACAGCTGAAAATGGACAACAATAAAAATGTAAATTTATGAAAGTTAAAGGACATTGTTTTTTAACCAAGCAATAATTCATAATTTTTTAGCTTTTTATTTATTTAAGGAAAGATATTTGAAAATATTTGAGACCAATTTACTGACCCAGATAATTTTTTCTTACCCAATGTAATAGTATCCTGGAATTGTGTCATAATTCATCTTTAAATAGATGATAGAAATTGAACTACATGTAATATCAAATAGGAATGATTTAACCCTGTCTTTCTTAAACTATAGGTCACAACCACAAATGGGGTCGCAAAGCGAAATTTTGGGGTCACGAAAATTCAATTTGATAGTCAAATTTAAAGAAACCACATTCCTGACTTTTAAAGAAATTACATTAATTGATATTAATGAGATTAGACCAATAAAGATATTACATTAATTGATATTGATGAGATTAATTACCTTTTATATAAAGTGCAAAAGAACATGTAAAGCTGTCTAGCGATTCAAACTTAAAACTTGAGTTTTCACAAAAATCCTTGATGAATTCTGGATCAGAGTTAGAACTAGATTTCTCACTATTTCTGAAATGGCATTAAATTTTCCTCTGTCACTACAGCACTACATATTTTTATGAAATTACTTTTTGAGCTTTAACACTAATTAAAACTAAATGTCATTCAACACTGAAACATGTTGAAGATGCTTTATGTCCAGCACTGTCAAATATCACACTAATATTTAATTTGTTATATAGCAGAAAACAAACACATCTGTCTCGTTAGAATTTTCTTTAATTCTTGCTTGCTTAAAAATAAATCCTAAAACTTGTATGTATATTGTATCTTAAAACTTTTATCCTAAAAATCCTAAAACATATATGTATATTGTTTACCAAGGAAGTAAATTATCTATGGGAGGATATTTATTTTTATATCTTTTATTTTATATTTAATATCTGGGATTTTCAAAAAATTTCTTGGTGATAAAAGGTGTCAGGATTGAAAAATGTGTAAGAAGCTCTGTTTTAATGAAAAATAGTCAGCAGTTGATTGAATAAACTGAAAAAAAAAATGGATCAAGTTTTAGTACTGAATGTAAGATCTAGTGATTCTTTTTATGCATATTTGGTCCTCCCTTGACATTTTAACTAATGTTTCCAATTCCTCATCAGATGAGTATTGCACTGATTAAGACTAATTATGCGATGGTTTTATGTGTTACTTGCTGGTCTGGTGCAACCTGTACAGTTGCATGTGCTAAAATTTAGGGGGCAAAATTTTTAGAATAAAGGAGGAAAATTTCAGAATATTTATTTTTATATCCTTATTTCATATTTAATATCTGGCGTGAAAAAAATCTGTGATAAAAAAGGGTTGCAATTGAAAAAAGGAAGCCAAGCCCTGATGTAACCAATCAGTTATTGTTTACTCAAAAAATAAAGAGTGTATTCATTTGAACTTAAGATTTTAATATGAACAACGTTTACAACTATTATTTGTAATATTAAAGATTGTTAAGATTAAAAAATGTATTGAATTTTCATCATAATTATGAAAGTAGATCTTATTGCAATGAAAATGTCTTTGGGAGAATTCTCTCCCTCATTGGCATAAACATCTTTTTTCTCCACATTTAAAGTTGCTTATTATATTTAAGAATGCAGGGTGATATAAAAGTCATGCACATCAAAGCAAGCAAATAAAGTTTGCTGGTTTAATGTACAAACTACAAGCTGTATAATATTTATTACTAATCTTTATTGCCTTATATCATAAAAATGCAACATCAAGCCTTGTCTTTACAAAATGTGCTTGAGACTTGGCAGTTCTGTTCAGTATCGCATATGTGTGCTCTTTTTTTTACCATACCTGAAGGGCCACTTTGGAGAATATCTGTTTATTCATTTTCTGGCATCATTTTGTGCCTTGTTAGGTCCTCCAGTGTGTGCAAATTATTTGCATTGACCTTTCCTATAAGAGACCCCATATACACACACATGTACAAGAAAACTTGTAGGAGCAAACTGAGTGAACGCAGCATCATAACCCTTTTGAACTATAATGCAATTGCTGAAAAACTGACTCCAGAGCTGCATGATTTTGTTGCGTGTGTGACAAGTTGCATCTTGCTAAGACCAGCACCAATGTTCATTGACTTTAAGTGCAGCTAACTGTTTACCTTGGTACATTGCACTGTTCAATCAAGTTTTAATATAGTTCAACAGAGAAAATAACAAAGAAATTATGTTCAACAATTAAAATTCTTTTTTTTTAAGAAACAGCATGTCTGCTTAGAATCGCAGAGTTCTAATGTAGATCCCAAACGACTGTTAAATGAGTAATAGAAAATACAGTTATTACAAATGCAATTCAATGTATAAGATGTTTAATTTATATGTGCAACTTTTCAATCTCTCTTTACTTTTTATTCATTCACTGCTTGTTCGCTACCCTCTGCTTATCCAAAAAACAATGTCTTTGATTATATTCATTACATATTAATGTAATTTCACCATCTATTAAATTTTGAAACCTTCATAGTTTTTTCTGTTGGTTTGGGATCAGATACCAAAGTTTCTAAAATAATATTTTGGTTCTTCAGTTTCAAAAAATCATAGAACTTGAGTTCTTGTTTGAGAAAGTTGAGATATGTTACTAGACATTCAGAGTCCATTTCAAAGCTAAATTCTATTTCTTAATAAGTTCATATATCAGAACACAAATGAGATCGGCTTTTGCAGAATCTATAATCTTACTTACTCTCCTTTCAAATATATGATGTCTAAAGCATATAAAATATTCCCTTGACCTCTACTGAGCTGCACAAAAGCCCCTTTCGTACAGTTTGGGCAAGGTGACATAAGTGAAAGGTGTTAGAAATTGAAATACTGTCTTAACTTAAATTCAGTATTAGAATGAGTTTGAGGAACAGCTACAAAATAAAATATGCCCATTTTGGTTAATAACCATTTCAGTTTGGGTAAAATAAATTTATGATTGAATTATCTGTTTTTGCAATTCAAAATTTGAAGAAACATAAGCATGACAGTTTGTTATGGCTTTTATGATAGTTAGAAAAGTTGACAGTTCTATTGTTTGTTTCAGCTTCTGATGCCCTTGAAGATGTGGATATTTATGAGTATACAGTGTCTATATAGCATAGTATTGCTTAAAAATTCATTAAGGCAAAAATACTCTTGAGAAATGTAATGATAAGCAAGAGAAGTATGAGGCTTTTGGATTCCATTTCATGAGATGATCTATATGACACTGTGATAGAGCTGAGCAAAACTATTCTGTCAGCATTACGTTCCAAGCTTTCAGACTACTGCTAGTAAATTTTAGATGAAATATAGAACCATTTTAACTAATTAAAGCATAATGAACATTAATGATTCTTTCCATTTAGATATGCAGATCATTTTTCTTGTTTTTTTATTAGATTTTATTTGTCATGATTGTAATATTGAAGGGAATTGCTTATTTAAAATATCTAAAAGTTTTTTACTACTTTGAAGTATTTTTGAAATGTTCCTAATCATCAAATTTATCTTTCTTTAGATATATGAATATCTTGGAGTTAGTAAGAAACTAGGCCTCAAAGGGAGACCACCCAGACCTATTGGTGCATTAGGTACTAGCAAGGTATTGAAGGCTGTCATTTTAATGCTTTCTAAATAAGTTAGAGCATAATGCATTTATTAATATTAAGATGTATTCAATTTCATTGAATTGTTTTTGAAGTTATTTAATGTCATTTGAAGCACTAATGGTATACTTTTATTTTGATTGTTTAAACTGTGCTTTATCAGTATTATTTCCTGCAGCTTTCTACAATTTGAAAAATAGTTATTGTTCTTGCCTTGCCTTTAACGCGTTCATGACGGGCACCTCTGTTACTTAAGCGTTCTCTTGGGACAGCGTGTTAATCGGGTACGTCGTCTTGTGGGGGCGGGCAATTTGTGTTGCTAAGCCTAACTTTGGAAAAAAATTCGTATAAATTAAATTTGTCATCCAGCTGTTCCAATTTTTACTACATTATGAGAAGAACATTCAAGTAGTTGTCAGAATTAATTTTAAACCTTTATTGTTATATTTTCCTTAAAAATTTTATACAATACTCATTCTAGAATAATATAATTTTTCCTTTATCCCACAATTAAATATGTACAGAAAAATATCCAAACAATCAGCAGATTTTATTTAACACAACACATAATTAAAATTAAAAAATATTAAAACTGTCTTTCATAAAATGAAGGTACACATACTTAACTTACTGCTGTCTCTCTCTGTTTGCTGAGTTTCTCTTCACTGCTTGTTAGCGTTGCATTTTCTATGTCGGGTAGTGTAGTTGTACACCTCCCGTTTTGGTTGCAATTGGCCACATCAAAAGTATATAATATACCCACTCCTTTACTTGGCTCATTGAGCTCAGTTTTTTATTCTTATATGTAGGTTTAATTGTGCGTTTTTTGCTTTAAAAGTAACTGAATTACGTTCTTATGTTGCTGTTAAAGTTTTTATGCCCTTAATTAATCTGCATGCAATATTTGTAGAATTATCAACAATGTAAAATTTGTTTAAGTGTGACTAAGCCTGACAGAGCAACCATTTTTTACATTTGTAACTTAACAGATTAGTGAATAAAGTCAATTTCTGCACCTACAGTGTTTTTTTACTGAGTGGGACCAAAAATAAGCTCAGTTTTGAGAACTAAAAGATCGGCATTCTTGCCTGTTGGCAGAATTACTTGGCTTTGCCATAGAAGCTCTAATTTTATTTGTTTAAAAAAAAATTCTTTAACTCTTGTGACTGTATTTTTTTAATGGTTATTTTACGATTTTTAATGAAGATGTTTTGAGTTTTAATGTATTTTTGCATTGGCGCAAAATGGGAACTCAATTAATTGAATAAGAAATATATCTGTAATGAAATTCAAGGAAAAAATTTAAATGAAATGCAGCTAAAAGTATGTACGAGGGTTGGAACTTTAATAGTGGTAACACAGCTGAAAAAACGCTACGCAACAAAAACCAAAGAATATCGCGTATACCACACGTAAACTACATACCTACCTTACCTCTCAGCAAAAAGACTTATCCTGCCTACGTCACACGCATGCGGAGTGACGCGAAGAACGGATCCTTGTATTAGCTCGTGGTCTAAAGTAAGTGTTGTCAGGATGTTTTCAAAACAAGAACAACGATGTTGGATAAAAATTGAATGTGCCAGAGGTTGTACAGCACGACAGTGTCATCAAGGGCTTCAAGAGGCTTGTGGGGAATCTGCATTGCCTTACAGAACTGTAGCAAGATGGGTGAAAGCATTAAATGAAGGATGCCAAAATGTGGCAGACATGCTGCGGCCAGGTCGTCCGAGTGTCAGTGATGCAGACGTACAAGCTCTTGCCGCACTAATGGACAGTGATTGCCGCCAAACGATTCATCAGCTGGCCGGACAAATAGGATTAGCGCATACGACTATGCTGCACATTCTGAAGGAACACCTGTCCATGAGAAAAATTGCTTCACCGATGGGTTCCCCATCATTTGACGGAAATGCAGAAATGGCTACGATACGATGCTGCCCGAACCCACCTGGAGCGCTATGAGTGCGAAGGAGATGCTTTTTTACGCCGTATCATTACGCTGGATGAGACTTGGGCCCGATCGTACCAGCCAGAACTGAAACGCCATTCAAACGAATGGCGTCATCACGGGTCACCACGACATTCGAAATTTCATCAGAACCCCAGCAATGTGAAAGTTAAGGTGATTCTCGTGTACGACTGTGATGGTGTCATCCTAACGCATACCGTTCCCCCACAGCAGACCGTCACTGCGCAGTATTACTGCTCATTTTTGGAGCACAATCTCCGACCAGCTTTGAGAAAAAAACGACGACACTTTCTGCAGAACGCTCCTCTCATTTTGCATGACAATGCTCTGCCGCATGCAGCGCAAGCGGTGACTGATTTGTTCAAGCGATGGGGCTGGGAAGTGCTTTGCTATCCACCTTACTCCCCAGATCTAAGCCTTTGTGACTAAATTCCTAAGATGAAGGAACCACTTCGTGGCACTCGCTTCCAAACTGTTCCTGAGATTTTTGCTCAGTAGACCGGTCCATTCAAACTATCAACAAAACAGGCACTGCTACAAGTATTCTGTGACTTCCACATCGTTGGAAACGAGTTGTACACAATGCTGGCGACTATATTGAAGGACTGTAAAACATGGTGACATGAATCACTTTTGTATTCCTTGTAAATAAATAGTTGCCACTATTAAAGTTCCAACCCTCGTATAATTTAACTGGCCGTACAAGTCATTTTGTCATAATTTGAGTCGTAGAATCAAAATATGGAAAAAAAATTGGCATGTCATTTCAGAAAAAGTCTGATTTTGTGTCTAAATACCTATATTAGAACAATGCTATATGTAAATCTAATACATATCCTAAGTCGTGCCTTCGAGACATGAAAAACACAATCTGAATTTCGTCAATCGGCCCAGTAGAACAGGAGATGTAAAACTGTCTTTTTTTTTTTTTTTTTTGCATAGAATACACTCAGTAACATTGAAAATGCAACACCAAGAAGGCATGGCCCAAAAATCGTGGTATCCGCATCAGAAGTAAATAACATATACACATACAAAAAAAAATTATTACAAATTTTAGTGTACTGTGAAACAACAGTAACAAAAGAAGAAAAAAAAACAATATTAAAGTTATAAAACATGATTTCAAGTTATTAAAAAAATTTTAAAGCTATAAAACATTATTTCAAATTATTAAAAAACAAAAGGTCAAATAAATTATATTTGTACATGTTTTTAAATAGGTATACATAATAGAAAACAACAAAAATGTCTTGTAGAAATCGGACCTTTCAAACTTTACTTTTGGCAAATTCATTAATAAAATTTTATAGAAATAACAGCATGATTTTCTAATCTTTCTTGGCCAGTTCTAGATCTTAAGTAATCCTTAATGAACTTTAATTTAGAAAATAATCTCTCGCCTATAGCTTCAGAAATTGGTATAATCAATACACTCATGCTAAACAACAAACGCTGCAAAAAAGATAAATGAAAAAAGGGAATTAAAACATACATGGTGTACATATGAAATAGAGGTTGTGTCATTGAATACTAATAGGTAACCAAAATTAGCATAAAACGCAATCACACCACAACGCCTTAAAAGAGGTATGCTTGACCTATGTGCGAGTTTGCAAGCAGTGATAGTTCTATGTAATCGGAAGCCAAAGCGAAAAACATGATCCGAAGACACCATTTGATGATGAATGCATTGGAGGGCTACTGTTATGTTGCGAGAGAGCTGAATGTGCATTGTAGTGCCATCAATAGGCTGTGGAATTGTTACCAAAGGGATCAAAACCCTTGTAAAAGACATGGGTTAGGACACTGGAACATTATCACAATGGCAGATGATAGCTTCCTGTTGTTATGTGCAAGATTCTGTACTTCACTAATACTACAGCAGCTGTCATCGCATCTCTCTGCTGCTGCAGGACTGCCCAAATCCCACCAAACTGTGTCTCACCGACTGCATGAAAGTTGATTGTTGCCTGGCAATCTGTGGTTTGGGTACCATTGTCCCCATTGCATGTCAGATGGCGGTTGAATTGGGCCGATGAAAATTGCAATTGGACACCAGAGCATTGAAGGCCATATACTCATCCATAAATTTAGAGTCTCAATTTAACATCCAGAATGATTCCTGAAGGGCAGTGACAAAAGCTAGGAACACACTATTGGATGCCAAGCATCGTCAAAAGAGACTATTACAGAGGAGGAGTCTTACTTGTATGGGCTGAGATAGCAATGAAAGACCGCACTAACCTCTATGTGTTTACTGGTGGTTCCATCACAGCCTTCTGATATTGTGACAAAATTCTACACCCTCTTGTGCTTGTGCTTCCTTTTATCGCTGTGATGGGTTCTGATGTTATATTAATGGATGATAATGCCCACCTGCATAGAGCTTGAGGGCTGATGAGTTGTATGGAGAGTGAAACCATTCCATATCTGCTGTGGCTTGGTGGATCTGAATCTCTTAGAACATGTGTGCGGCATGTTTGGTAGACGAATTGTCAGTTGCAGTGTGCCACTAGGCATTTTACATAAGCTCCAACATGCATTAGTACAAGAATAGGTGCTTCTTCCACAACAAATGATCCAGGACATTATAGCCAGCTTGCTGTGCCGTTGTTAAGCATGCATTTCAAGTAGAGGATATCATACATGTTATTAGCATGATGTTTCCATTGTGCATTCCTCTGATTCATATGGTCACTCACAATGCAATGGTCACAATACATGTGTGTTTGTATAAAAAAACTAAACTCGGTGGCACAACAGCCCTAGAAGGCCACGACCTGCAGTGCCTCGACAATCTGCTTTCTTCACCTTGGGCCCTGAGGTGCATCAGCATCTGCCCTGAATAAGTGGTCAGTTGTCGCAGGTCCTCGGATGTTTAGTCCCCAGGCAAACTTGGTACTCATTTTCTACCCACTCAAGGGATGAAAGGCTGAATCAACCTTGCCCAGCTCAGGGATCGAACCCCAGACCTGTGGTGCAGTGGCTAACGCATCACGCAGCTGTGGTGACCTGTGGTGCAGCGCGTTAGCCACTGTACCACTGGGCTTGTTGTGTGTTTGTATAGCTTTATTATTTGCTGTGTCATCTAATAACATCACACCAACTTCTTTGGTCATTTTTATACATATATATCCATTAAACAATTTTTGTTTTGTTCTGTATTTTGCCTTTGTTGCTTATTTTTTTAGCAGGAGTGTAATATATATAATGCAGTCATAATAATGGTTCATTGCAATAGGGAATGGATGGATTAAGTCATTTGTTGCAATGCAATTCTACTACAGCTGTCATATTTTTGTTGCAGTTTTGCTGAAATTGTAATTCATATAAAAGTTCTGTTCCGGCTACATTTTTTCATTTCATTTTTGTCACTTAAAGTTTCATTAAATCTTTTACAAAAGTTAAATTAATCTTGATCCTAATACTTGCCAAAATCCTCAATATTCTACAAAAATTTGTAAGTATAAGAATAAAAGGATAACAGATCAAAACTTTCATTTAAAAATGAGAGTATTGTCTATCATTTCAAAAAAAAAAAAAAATACTTTGAATTTTTATTCATGGTTTTCAAGTGGTTGATCTTTTCTTTCGTAGGAATTTTTATTTTTATTTTTCATGACCTTAAAATTTCTGGGCATTTGAATGTTGCATCAACTTTCAAGTAAGATGCTAATTGTTTGGCATTTATGAGCATATCAGTAAACCTTTATCTGATCGATATTCATTTAAAAATATATTCAGGTTGTTCAAACTTTCCCAAGTCTGTGAAATAATAAAATTTTTATTTTGCTGAATATTGGTAACAACAGCTTGGTATCTTGTACAACAACACTAATATACATACAAACTCATAAATTTTCATTTTTTTAACTCAAGATGTAGCCATAATGTGAAATTCAATAATAAACCTTTGAAACCGAATCTAACCGCGAGAGAAAAAGCTACAATGCGCAAAATGCATTCTAACCCAGATGTTATCATTTCAGAGGCTGACAAAGGTGGCCAAATGTTCGTCATGGATAAGAACACTTACATCGATGGTGTCACTAAACTCTTAAATGTATATATATAATCCGATCCTTAAAGATCCTTCGCCTTCGGACCTGTCAAAAATAAAAACTGCAATCAAATCTTCACAAATCCTTTCAAGCAACTTAAAAAAACTTATCCCATCTGTTGCAAATTGTGCCAGATTATATACTCTTTCCAAAATTCATAAAAGTGGTATTCCTTTCCGCCCTATTATATCAAATTTAGGTACTGCCTCGTATCCGTTAGCTAAATATTTAGTTTTCTAGATTTTCAAATTAAATTATTAAAAAAAGATCTTCCATTGGTGAACTGGATTTTCTAAAGGCATTTCACATTCAAACAAATCTTTCTGTTGTAGTTAATAACCCTAATTCCAATCCATCTTTGCCTTCAGCCTTTAAAGAAATTATGTTTTAATTCTGGTTTCATCAACAGATTGCGCCAGTAACTTATCTTCTGTCCAGACTTTCTTATCTGATCTTATCATTATATTTTATCTCGTTCATTTGTGCTTTTGCAGCGGAGGAGGATGGTTCGGTAAAACCATCGAAATTAGTCCTGTGAAAATTTGAAAATATAACACTGTTTTTTGTTGTTTGACTTCTAAATTAATATTTATTTGGGGTATTATTGTATCTTAAGCAGCCAGATGTTTTGTAGTGTTATCAAAATTATTTCGAGAAAAAATTTCATAAAAACATCTCAAATTTTCCCTAACTGAAATCTTAGAGGGTTTATTTATTGCATCAATTCTGCTAGACTATCTGGTATCTGACAAAGTTTTAACTTTAAATTTGAAATGTTACTTTTCAAAACAGACCTTTGATTGCTTGAGGCAGAAAAAAAAATTATATAGCTGTTGAATAATTGAGAAAAAATTTATATTAAACATACTGGATTTCACATTGTCATTCTTGACAGGGTTCAAACTGCAATTACAACAAGTTACAAATATTGCTCATGAATTAATGTCTACAATTTTGTACACCTTTTGTTTACCCTTCATATTCCAACCATTGTCGTAGGTCGATTAAACCTTCACTTGTTGTATAACTTACAGAATGAAATGTTGAGAAACTTTGTTCAACACTAAATTCATTGTTTTTTAAATTAACATATGTTATGCAAACAGAAATTTGCTCCTGGTGGCTCACATCAAGAATACAATAAAGTTAATAGAATATTATCACCTATTAATTTAATCATTTAATTTTGAATTTTTCTCCAAGATTAAATGGCATATTTTTAGTCAATTAATATGTACAGACTTGACTGGGTCAAATTTTGCTATCATTTCTATAAATTGAAAGAGAATTCCATTATTTCTTTCAAATAATTTGTTACTAGTGCCACGAAAAACCAAGTTTCGTTCAGCCAAAAATTGAATTGTGTAAATTATTCTTTAAAATACACTGCGCCAGTGTTTAGTTTCACTTTTTAATAAATTTTCATTTTGGAATCTACAGTTTGATTAATTTTTAATCTGTCTAATGAATCAGACCAGAAACAAATTTTAAAAACGAGATTTACTTTTATCGTAAATTTTCAAATGTTTGCTCAAGTGATGCCAATCATTGAAATCGTCTTGGTTAAATTTAGTATTTGTACAGGTCAGTGGATTTTTATGTCAATGAATATTTTACAATAGAAACAATAAACTACATTTATCTTAAAAGAATATAGTAACCAATCTTGTTGAACCTTTTCACCATTTGACAGAATTCAAGTAAAATATATACAAGGTTTTTCTGAATTCAACCAATAAATTCAGAGGGGTAATAGTAGGCATCAAGAGGATGAAAATTTTCCATAGAACATGGGGTCGCGAATCACGTTTAATGAAGAAAATCGCAAAAATAGTTACAAAGGGTGTGATGTCTAATTTAACAAAGGGGCCAATAATAAGTTATTGTGTAAAACATTTATTTGACGTAAAGCAGGATGACATCGCATCGCAGTACAACCTCAAAAAGGAGACAAAGGGGCAGTTTTACAGGAATTGTTCGACGTTGCAGCCGCCAAGGTCATTGTACAGCAACACTTACGGATGAAGGATTGCAGGACACTTTCAAACATACCCGGTGTGCTGGTGATGTCTGCTAAAACAATGTAATTGATTTACAGTGATGTTTCACACATGTTGCTCTTCAGGTCAGGTCAGGTCAGGTTTCCCTTCAGGTCTCACAGATTGCTAGTATTAACTTAATATATCATTACCCTTTCTCTGTAAAATATTACTGTAGCAATTATTTACTTAAGTTACAAAGTGCACTGAAGTTTTTCCTCAGGGTGAGAAAAACAGGGAAAAGCTTGTGTATACTCAATAACTTTTGGAACCAATAAAGAAACTTCATGAAACAGACTGAAATTCTGTGTTCTGAACCTTCCTTTTATTCTCATCTGCTTATGCAATATGCAAATTTTATTTGTATTAACTATTATAGGAGTTAATAGAAACACTTTCTAAATTAATTTTCAAATTGTATTTTATTAGTTGTAGTGGGGAAGTTTCTTTTCCATTCATAAAATATATTGTTGATAGAAAATGTTCTATAACAAACAGTTTGAAAACATTTTTTGTTCTTCCATTAGCAAGCTCTGAATAAAAAATATTTTAATTTATAGCACCTTGTATAAGTATTATGTAACACAGTGAGAGCTACATTGATGATGAATGCTTAAATTCAATAATTACAGCTTTACCGAATATGCGGTCAAACAGTAATATGCTATCCTCTGATCTTTGAAGTTAGTGATTTTTATCTTTCTCATGATATGGCTCTTCTTATTGATGATATTAAGGTAAGTCTGATCGAAGAATTCATTATTTTGACCACATTGAAGCTGTTAAAAATTTATACAAATGTTCTTTTTATCTGCTTTAGAATGAACTTCATTTTGTGGGAAAGTATTGGCGAATGTCTGGAAGGCCTACAGTCTGTATTCTGATTAGAGAAGAACATATGAGGTATTTATTTAAGTGTTTGATTATACTGAAATTTGGAAGAGAAAGTTAATAAAAGATATTTGTGCAAAAAATATTTAATATCTAATTGAGTATGCATGCACATACGTTATTGGCCAACCAGCATACAATTTTTGATGCAACCATCCAATACTTACAACAAGCTTGAAATTTGTGCC